CTCATACGGAATATAAGAATTATGGTTAACCTGTGTGGACTGGGACATAGTACTCTGTATAGAGTGATTTATTTGTTCTAGAAAATTAGCAGCAAATTATAGGAGATATGCTAAATGTGCAAATGTCACATGTACATAAATGTCTTCTAAATAATATACCAACACTTATAAAGTGAAGTTGGGTGCTTTGGAATAAACAATCCATTATAACCCATCACATTCATATTGCACACTGTTCACAGTGTATTTGCTTATTTATTTACATTTCTGTCCTGCCCATCTGATAACAAAGCACTACTCTGGGGGCTAATAATAAAGGAAATAGAAACTATAATCTACCCACAGTATAACCCCGTAATTGATAAAAACCAACAACAACAACAAACTCCTAAGGCAATGGCAAACAAAACTCAACTAGAAACACATGGGTCTGCACGAATATCAGAGAGGGAGGATGTTATCAAAGGCCTCTTTGAAAAGCTCAGCTTTCACACATTTCCTGAAAGTCAGAAGGGAGGGAGCCTGCAAACATTAACAGGAAAGCCCATTTCCTGGTACGTAGTACAGTGGACCCTCGACTTACGGAATTAATCCGTATTGGAATGGTGGCTGCAGGTCGAAAAGTCTGTAAGTCGAGTCTCCATTGACCTACAATGCATTGAAAACCGATTAATCCCATAACCAGCCGTTTTTGTTCCATTTTGGCTTTTTTCTGGTCTGTAGGTCGATTCTCCGGCTGCAAGTCGAATCTAAATTTTGCAGCCAGAGAAGTCTGTAAATCGAGCCGTCTGTAAGTCGAGGGTCCACTGTAATGTTTTGGGCCTGTCTGGAGGTGACCACTCACAACTGCAAAGCCTGGGTACACTGGATGTCCTGGGTAGATTATCTTAAGGAGAGATGTTCTAACAGTAATTGTATTTTTATAAACAATTGTAGTTTTACAGTTTGATAAAGCATGATCAAATGATACCATAGACCTTGAGTGTAGGAGAATTGCCAGTTTCATTAAATTCAATAGGACTTAAGCAATCTAACTTGTCTGTTGGGATTGTCCCCTGAAAAGTTATGTAGGAGATAATTTATTGTCAGATAAGGTATCTATCTGTGGTTCATTCACTACCCTTTAATTTAACGGTGGCCTTCCCCTACTATAAATCCAGATAAGCAAGATAATATTAATGGAAAACTTTTCTTTGCCAACATTTCCTACTGAGTTTTCCAAATAAGTTCCAGTTAGCAGCAGGTTGAGAATTGGGATGAGTATCATTTGGACTCACTTGAATATTTATTCACTGTAAGTATCTTAATGTTACAGGCAAAGCTTACACCATCTGTGAGTTAAAAGTCTTACCATTTAAATCAAGTATATTTGGACTTGAGTAATTCAGGCCTTACTTAGGCTTATTTCTTTGTTCATCCTTTCTTAATGTGATTTCAGAATTGATAATTTTATTATTACTGTTAAGTTCCTGTTCTTGTAAGGGTGGGATTTGCTGCTGGTTCTATGACAGGGGATGTGGGGCGCAGGGAGTGTGGCCAGTTGTTAAATTTAAAGGCAAAGACCACAGACTGAGGCAGCCATGTTATGAGCATATGGAAACAGCAATGGCTAGTGCTTCCCACAGAAATGGTTTGTAATGTCTAGGTCACTTCTTGTAGCAAATGGAAAGTCCTGCTGGTAGCCCAGCTGATATGTACTTCACAATGCAATCCTAGACAAGTCTACTTAGATGGCCTGTTGAGTCCTCTTGAATTGTGTTAGACTAAGTATGAGTAGGATTGTAGTCTTAGTGTTGCAGATAAAGGTAAAGGTTCCCCTTGACAATTTTTGTCCAGTTCTGTTCGGCTCTAGGGGGCGGTGCTCACCCCCGTTTCCAAGCCATAGAGCCAGCGTTTGTCCAAAGACAATCTTCCGTGGTCACATGGCCAGTGCGACTTAGACACGGAATGCTGTTACCTTCCCACCGAGGGGGTCCCTATTTATCTACTTGCATTTGCATGCTTTCGAACCACTAGGTTGGCGGGAGCTGGGACAAGCGACGGGCGCTCACTCCGTCACGTGGATTCGATCTTACGATTGCTTGGTCTTCTGACCCTGCAGCACAGGCTTCTGTGGTTTAGCCCACAGCGCCACCACGTCCCTAGTGTTGCAGATACTGCTGGTCAAATGTGGCCATTAATTTGCACTTGAATTAATTTCTCTTTTTTATTTAAAATATTTATGCCACCTTCTTCTTTTGACCTTTGAATCAGAACAGTTGGCTGTTTTACTGTTCCTGATATCACTGCTTAGCTACTTTTGAAAGCTTCAAATGTTAACTGCAAGCATTCTGTACTTTCTCATGTCCAGTGTGAGAGCTTCCTTCTCGTAAAATGACATACTTCTTGAAGCATTTTTCTCTGTAAGACAGCATCTGGATAGGAATTTCTCCAGTGAGAACAGAGGAAGCTGCCTCATACTCTAGGTCAGGGGTCTCCAAACTACAGCTCGTGGGCCACATCCAGCCCGCCTTGCCTTTTTATCCAGTCCAGTGAATGCCACAGGCTCAGGTCTATTCCCTTCAACCCATGTGCATGGTTGTGCACACACAGGTGTGCATATGTTCCTTCTGCCCTCAAAAATGTGGAAAATATATAATGTGGCCCTCATGCTGAAAAGTTTGGAGACCTCTGCTATAGGTAGACAAATGATGGGCAACAGCTCTATAAGGTTTCAGGCAGCCTTGACCCCAATGTAAGGTTCCTGCTATTTCCAATCCAAGTACTAATCAGGTGAAATCTTGCTTAGTTTCCATGACCAGGCATGTGCAGAGTGGTATGTTTGCATTGCCATTGTGTATATAGATGCTCTGAATATAGTTAATGGAGAAAATTATGATGATTTTGATTCGAGGGCAGGGGAAATAATCCACTGGCAATTAACTTCTTTCTTACACACTGTGCAGTGTTTAGAATTTATGATACGATCAGGCTTGGATAGTGAGCTATTCCTGGGCAAGCACCCCCCCCCACACCACCCAATTGGTGAAGTACTACGGCCCAACTGCTGCTTGACAAATGGCATCAAGACAGTTCATAAAAACCAGAGAGGAGAATTATGAAGCAGCTGGTGCACTGAAATCTCATGCAGCCTGGTTTAGACTGTTGAAGCTTTCCATTAAGGAACTCCATGCAAAACATATGACTATTTTAACTAACACACTAAATGTTTGGTACTTGCCCTGAATAAAGATGCCATAATATGTCAGATAAATGTTAGGGCGTTTTGTTTTGTTTTTGTGGGTTTTTTGGTCTTGTTTTTGCAGAATGCACAATTTTAGAGATTGTACATCTTCCTTATTATGAATCACATTTTCACCAAGTCCATAGCCCTCCACCATCCTTGTTGACATGTACTCTTTGCATCTAGCCCAGTTATTCTCTTCCTTCTTAGGGCATCCACCTGTTTCTTCACTTGGTAATGTCTCTGGCAGTTTATAGGCACCTGAACCAAAAAGGTTGCTGTATTGAAAAACAACTCCCAGAGTTTTCCCAGACAGCATGACCAATGGCCTTTTGACTGAGAGGATTCTGGATATTGTAGTTTTAAAAATATATTTCCAATTATGTCTCTTGTCCTTTGATAAACAAAAAAGTTGGCACTGTTTTCCTTTCACTCTTGTATTTTTGTATTGTGGTATCTCATTTTATGGTGTAATCGCATTTTTGGCAAATTTAAAGATGTTTACTTGCTATCACTTCAAATACTGTAAAGTGATTCTCTTGCATGCTTTGAATGGTTATGCTTCTCCTCTTCCCCTCCACTCACCCATCTTTCAACCTCTGCTGAAAACAGAGTTGGTGCAAAACAATACAAGAATTTGATTGCACAAGTCAGTCATTCCATGGTGACAACTAGGTCTATTGTGTTTCTCGCTCAGCTGAGTGAAGACACGTTTCACACAGTGGAAACCAATCATATGAATTCTTTCATGTAGCTCTACTGGTCAATCTGGAAAATAAAAATATTGATGGCATATTGTTTAGGTCTAGCCTAGATTTCTCAGGGATAAAGAAAAAGGCTTTTGAAACATAGCCCACTTGTGCCATTTTCCCCTTTTGCTAGGAAGTGTTAGAATCCTATAATCCCCGTACTAGCAGCAATCAACTGGGCTCAGAGTTGATCAGCTACAGTTCATTGGTCTAGCTAAAATAAGAAACTGGGCCAACTCATACATGTGTCAATATGTACTTGAAGAATTCACAAACAAGCAAGAATTCCTGATCTTCCTCTCATTTGAAGTTCAGAGAAGGTACAGTAATTCAGCATTGCCTGAATTGGGTGGTTATTGCTGTTTAGCACAGTTTATGCCAAGGATAGGCAATCTGGCTTCCTCCTGAGGTTTTCAACCATATTTCCCCTATTTCAGGACCATTGGACATCCTAGGTGGGGCTTATGGGAGCCATAGTCAAAAACACCTGAAGAATATCTGGTTGTGTACCACAGTATGGCAGTGTATTTTCACATAGAAGCACCAAGATCTGAAAAGCTGCTTTAACTGGGCCCATCCAGTATGCATCTAGCGATGTTTTCAAATAACATTTTTGAGACATGGAAATTCAAAACCCCACTTCTGAATACAGTGTTTTATATTGTTAGTGTTTTATTGTGTACAATGGACCCTCAACTTACAGACGGCTCGACTTACAGACTTTTCGAGTTACAGACTTCTCTGGCTACAAAATTTATATTCGACTTGCAGCCAGAGAATCGACTTACAGACCAGAAAAAAACCAAAATGGAATAAAAATAGAATAAAAACCACTGGTTATGGGATTAATCGGTTTTCAGTGCATTGTAGGTCAATGGAGATTCGACTTACAGACTTTTCGACTTGCAGCCACCATTCCAATACGGATTAATTCCTTAAGTAGAGGGTCCACTGTATTGTTTATTACTGTATTGTCACTGTACTTCTGTATACATACTTCAATCACTATTTGTATTCCCTTCTTCTAGGTTACAGCTTCCCTTCCAGTGACATTAAAGGTGTGATCTCTAAAGTTGCAGTAATAAGCCTCGTCCCATTGCTTGTGATTGCCGTTGCTGTTACTGTTATCTTTTACTGTTACCGGATTCAGAGGGCAAGGAAGATGAACATGTCATGGGAGAAAAAAAAGTCCAGGACACATAAAGATTGCAGCGATGTTTGTGCCATGATATTGGATGATAACGGCTCTGACATTAGTTCAACTTGTGCAAATAACATTAACCATAATACTGAGCTGTTGCCCATTGAGCTGGACACCCTGGTAGGCAAAGGACGGTTTGCTGAAGTCTATAAGGCTAAACTGAAGCAAAACACCTCAGAACAGTTTGAAACAGTGGCTGTCAAGATCTTCTCCTATGAAGAATATGCCTCCTGGAAGACTGAGAAAGACATATTCTCTGACATAAACCTGAAGCATGAGAATATTCTTCAGTTCCTAACAGCTGAGGAACGCAAGACAGATCTAGGCAAGCAGTACTGGTTGATCACTGCTTTCCATGCAAGAGGAAACTTGCAGGAGTACCTTATGAAACACATCATTAGCTGGGAAGACCTCTGGCGATTGGGTGGATCTTTGGCTCGAGGGATTGCCCATCTTCATAGCGACCATACACCTTGTGGCCGACCAAAGACACCCATTGTCCACAGAGACTTAAAGAGCTCTAACATATTGGTCAAAAATGACTTAACGTGTTGCCTGTGTGACTTTGGGCTGTCACTTCGACTGGATCCTACTCTTTCTGTAGATGACTTGGCCAACAGTGGGCAGGTGAGCTTCAGGAGGAGGAGCAGTAGAAAACTCAAAGGCTAGTATCCTACAGTGGTGCCTCGCTAGACAATTGTCTTGCAAAACAGTTAATTCGCAAGACGATGGGTTTTTGCGATCACCATAGCGCTTCGCAAAATGGTTTTCCCTATGGGCGTTTTTCGCTAGATGATTTTTTAGGGACGGTTTTTCGCAAGACAGCGATTTTGACAGTTGGGTCCGTGCTTTGCAAAATGGTTTTCCTATGGGCGATTTTCGCAAGACAACGATTTGCCCCCCCATTGGAACATTAAATAGGTTTAAATGCATTCCAATGGGGAACCACATTTCACAAGACAATGTTTTCGCAAGACAGTGATTTTCGCAGAATGAATTAACATCGTCTTGCGAGGCACCACTGTATTACTTAACTGCAGAGTGGAAAGGAAATGTGCAAGTATCTTACATGCTCCAGCAGGTGTCTTGTTGCACACTCATTCTCACACTTGTGAAGTTGGTCACACAGTGAAGAACCTGGTGAGGCATGAGGAAACTTACATGATTTACCTTATGTTTTGTGTTTAGAAGCAACAGGACATTAACCATGGGTTCTAAAGCATGACCTGGCAAAGCCTTCCACTACGATAGATTGGAAATGTTTGCAGGAGAAGACTCTAGTCATGGCAGGAGGGCCATACAGTATCCTTGTAGACAAAAGCTGCTCCTCTGTGTCAAGACAGTGGACATGTTTTGTAACCACCATAACAGTATACTAAGTACTGCTCTTTTTCAGTCTCTGAAAGGAATTGCAATAGCTCACTCTTAAGGCAGAAAAATAAGGGGACTGTGAGCCATCATGAGGGAAGGACAATTAAACTTTCTTTCTGCCCCTTTCTCCCTCCTACTCAAGACTTAGTTATACCTTTGTTTAATATTTCCTCCTTCACCTGCAAAGCTATCACCTAGATTTTGTTTTTTTTGTTATGATGAAATATTTGAAGGGAAGTGTTAACAGAGTGAATAACCCTGTTAAAGTATTTGTAAGCATCTTAATATGGGAGAATCCGGGTTCTGCTTCACATGCAGAAGCTCTGTGGGTAGAGAATTCTCTCCTCTTTGGACTCAACAGTTTCAGTGTGAACAAAGTGATGACAGAGGATGTTGGCCTAGACTGCACCCCTCTTCACATGGTGAATAAATATACTTTAGACCAGTGGTCCCCAACCTTGAGCCTCCAGATGTTCTTGGACTACAGCTCCCAGAAGCCTTAACCGCCAACTCTGCTGGCCAGGATTTCTGGGAGTTAAAGTCCAAGAACATCTGGAGGCCCAAGGTTGGGGACCACTGCTTTAGACCACCTGAGTAGGGCTGGTGTGTTATATTCAAAGTGCAAAATTGTCATATTTATTTATTTATTTATTTATTTATTTATTCATTCATTCATTCATTCATTCATTCATTCATTCATTCATTCATTCATTCATTTAACTTATATGCTGCCCACTCTACCCAAAGTTTTGTGAACTTCCTAAAGATGTTGCCCCATCTGAAGTATTTTTCACTGTTTTCTGTATACTGACAGGTTGGCACAGCAAGGTACATGGCTCCTGAAGTCTTGGAATCCAGAATGAACTTAGATAATGTTGAATCTTTCAAGCAGACTGATGTGTATTCCATGGCTTTGGTTCTGTGGGAAATGACATCTCGCTGTAATGGTGTTGGAGGTATGTGTGATGGGCAGTCTTAAAGCTCAGGGGTATTTTTATTTTCTATAGGTGCCATTAAAAACTATTGGGTTGTACAGGTTGCAGCAGGTTTTTCCCCATATGTGACTGATCTATGACATTTGAACTTTGCCCCTTTCTCTGGGCAGCTCAGAGTAGTTTACAACATGGTTCACTAGTGGTCTCCCATCTAAGCAACTTCCAGGGCTGTCTAGATCTGCTTAGCCTCAGGAGCAGAACACTGCCAAGATGCTATCCAGGCCATGTTTTGAACCAAAATCCCATAATCTGGTGCTCTCCAGATGTTTTTCTTTTCAGCCGGATGCTGAAATAGCGTTCAGGACATATAATGCCTTGCATTTGCTAGTGTACCAGCTGTGGCATCTCGTAGTCAGGAATCACCTGGCAACAGATGTGCATTTCGATAACTGGATGAGATTACTACTGTGCATTATAAGCATGCCTGACACTCATGGCAAATAATGGTGAGCGAGTTATTTTCTGCTTCTTGGGCATAATTTAGTTTTTATAATCATTTCCATGGCTTAATGTGCAATAAAGTTGTGGACTGTACAGATGGCATCTTCCCTCCACCCATAGATCAGATTACATGAAGTGGTCCATCTTGGAGAAGGGAAAATATTCTCAGCTCCAAATACGATATCCAGAGCAGCCAGGAGTGTTAAAAATAACCAGGCCTTCAAAAGATAGAATATTCAGCCTGAATCCATCCTCCACGTAGTAAGACTGTTATGATTGACCACTTTAAAATGGTAATGTAGGGTTAGATCTCCATAGATCTATAGCCACATTGGGTCTCATTATTGGGAGGAAGGTGGGGTATAATAGAATGAGTGAGTGAATGAATGGATCCAATTTTTAACTCTTTTGTCTGTCATTATTGAGAACCCAAAGCATCCTGTAATAGGTGTCAGGAAGGTACGGTCCTCCAGATGTTTCTTGATTGCCCCTTGACAAAGACAATGGTGAGGAATGAATGGGAATTGCATCTAGAGGACCATGCCTCCTCCATCACTGTCTAATAAACTAAAATAAACTAGTTCAGACTTATCTTTGGTCAAATTATTCACTCAGTAAAACAGATAAATAAAATTTGAGATTAACATCAAACAACTCTTTAATTTTATAAAGAGTGTTCAGATTCCAGTCTAGTAGCATCTGAAAAGGAATGAAGATGCAATTGTCAGAGTTATACTGAAGTGTAAAAAGTAATAATTTTGCTTAAATATTGTTATTATGTGTTATTATGCCACTTTCAATTTGTGGAGACCCTATGAATTAGTGACCTCCAAAACGTCCTGTTATGAATAGCCCTGCTGAGGTCTTTCAAAGCAGAGGCCATGGATTCCCTTATTGAGTCCATCCACTAATCATGTTCAGATGGTTGTTGTGGGTTTTTCGGGCTTCTTGGCCGTGTTCTGAAAGTGGTTCTTCCTAACGTTTCGCCAGTCTCTGTGGCCGGCATCTTCAGAGGACAGCAAACTGTGCTCTGGGTAGGCTTGAGAGTGGGTGGAGTATTTATGGCTGTGAGAAGGCTAGTTTGTGAGGTAGGCTATTGTCCTAATCAGGAGATGGTTGATTAATGTGTTTTGTTGTGGATGTATTGTTTTGATGAGGAGGGGAGATTATCTGTCCCTGTGGTTGATGGGTGTCATTAGCTGGTCTTTTGTGTGCAGTAATCCCCTGACCTTGTGGCTGGGTGGAGTTCGTTGACCTTTTGCACTCTGTGTTTTTGAGAGCTAGGAGCCAGGTTTTGTTGAGTTTCAGACATTCCTCCTTCCGGTTGAAGTTTTGTTGATGCTTGTGGATTTCAATGGCTTCCCTGTGCAGTCTGACGTAATGATTGCTGGTGTTGTCCAGTATTTCAATATTTTGAAATAGAATTTCATGTCCAGTTTGTTTTATGGCATGTTCAGCTACTGCAGATTTTTCTGGTTGTTTTAGTCTGCAGTGTCTCTCATGTTCTTTGATTCTGGTGTGGATGCTTCGTTTTGTGGTTCCAATGTATACCTGGCCACAACTGCAAGGTATCCGGTATACTCCTGCAGTGGTGAGGGGGTCCCTTCTGTCCTTTGCTGACCGTAACATTTGTTGTATTTTTGTGGTGGGCTTGAATACTGTTTGTAAGTTGTGTTTTTCCAGAAGTTTCCCCATGCGGTCTGTGACCCCTTTGATGTATGGCAGAAATACTTTGTTTGTGGGTGGCTGTTTTTCTTCTTCAGTTTGGTGTTGTTTTCTTGGTTTGATGGCTCTTGTGATTTCATTTTTGGAGTAGCCATTTGCCTGTAGGGCCCAATTCAGGTGGTCGAGTTCAGTGTTGAGAAACTGAGCTTCACAGTTCCGATTTGCACGGTCTACCAGTGTTTTGATTATGCCTCTTTTTTGCTGTGGGTGGTGGTTGGAGTTTTTGTGTAGGTACCTGTCTGTGTGGGTGGGTTTTCTGTATACCTTGTGTTCAGTCTTCCTCTTTTCTCATTGTCTTCCATGTTTCCCATCTTTATGGTCTTTTTCAGACAATCTTCCCATGATGTGCTCAAAGTGTGATCGTCTCAGTTTTATCATGTTAGGTCCTCTTAAGAATTCTGACTTGATTTGATGATCTAAACCTCCTTAATTTGTCTTTCTGGTGTTTCATGGTATCTCTAAAGCTCTCCTCCAATACTATGCTACAAAAGAATCTCTCTTTTTTTCATGCTAGCTCTCTTCACTGTCCAACTTTCACATCATATATAGTAGTCAAGAATGCCATAGCATTTTGCTCAGACCCCATTACCTAACCTGTGCATGCATGCATGCAGGCATGTCCAAAGAGATCTTAATTATGTCTTTTAAACCTCTGACATTCAGGGATTATGCTGAAGAAACTTAGGTTTGCAAGAAGTTAGTTCAGACAATTGTTGAAGGTTTTATAACCCATTGTTTATAGAACTGAGAATTAGCATAATAGCCTTGATACTTCTTCATCCTTCCTGCTCTCTTATCCCCCAGTGCCTTCAAGGTAAATATCCTGACTTGTGCTGAACCAGAGTGTACCTTTACATCCAAATGGGGAATTATGAGACTGAGTCAGGGTCAAGGCAGGGAGAGGGAAATAAAATTTCAGCTAATGTTTTTTTCTCAGCATCATAAACCACGATGCACATCAACCACCATTTATGAAGCCTTATATGATTGTCCAAACCAGGGCAATCTGCTAGAAAGGTGTAGATATATATAAATATTATAGTGTTTCACAGATTGGCAAACAATTTGGAGCCCTAAAAAGTATTTCCTGGTTTTCCCACTTAATATTTTTTTATTTTCATACCTTTCAGAAAGACACTGAAATGCAGGTAGGAATGGTCTTTTCTTGTCTTCCGTTCTGGAATTCTGGCTTACTGCATTCCACAGGGTTTTTTTAAGGCATTAATGAGTTGTTTGCTCAGGAAGAATGTTTTATCCTTGCTGATTCCTGAGTTCTTTTCCTGTTCCTGTTTGAGCAAACCAGAATAATGTCTAGGGAGAAAACCATCCAATCAGCAGGTCTGCTCAGGAAGTTACAAGAGTACAATTAATATAATCAGGAAAGAAAAGGCACGTACTGCTTAAGAAAAGGGTAAAGTTATGTACGGATCTCTCCAAAAATGAAGAAGACAGATGCATGGCAGAACCTAAAACTCAAACTGTACAATGCAAGTGTGCAATGCATGTATGAAACAGAACAGTGTTTGAGAAACTGCAGCCAGAATCCTATCATCTTGTTCTCCTTGTGCAGTGCTGTGTTACATGGCTGATGATGATAGTAGATTTTCAATATCTGCACAAGAAGGCATCCATTACCTCCATGCTCAAGGATTATACCAGTTAAAAACATCAGTGCAGTAACATTCTGGAGATGACAAAATATTTATTTATTTATTTTATTTCTTTATTTATTGCATTTATATGCTCTCACAACATACAAGATAAAAACAATTTAAAATATAGACAGTTTTACACAGATAAAGACAATATGATATAAAACGTAGTATCGTAATTTTATAAGTTTAACAATTAATTTAAAGCAAGCAGTTTAAAGCAAGCAGTCTCAAGATGGCAAGAATCAAAAGAAGAGAAATAAGAAATAAGAATGATTTATTTTGACTGGAGGGAAGGCCTGCTTGAATAGCCAAGTTTTCAGCTGGCTTTTGAAAATGCCCAGTGAGAGTGCTAGCCGAATTTCGGTAGGGAGGGTGTTCCACAGCCGAGTGGCCACTGCCGAGAAGGCCCGATTTCTTGTTTTTTCCTTCCGGGCCTCCCTCGGTGTCAGACCCCTCAGCTGTCCCTGCTGGCTATGTCGGGTGATTCGGGTAGATCTGGGTGGGAGAAGACGGTCTGCCAGGTATTGAGGTCCCAAATCGTTTAGGGCTTTATATGTAATCATTAACACTTTGAAGTCAACGCGGAAACGGACGGGCAACCAGTGCAAAGCAGCCAGAGTGGGGGAGATATGTTGGTGTTTTCTCACCCCACTAAGAAGCCTGGCTGCCGCATTCTGGACCATCTGAAGTTTCCGCGTCAGCCTCAAAGGTAGCCCCACTTAGAGTGCGTTACAATGGTCTAATCTTCAGATTACAAGCGCATGGACTAGAGTAGTGAGGCCCCCCCCATCAAGATAGGGTCGCAGCTGGGCAATCCTCCATATGGAAATAGATGGAGCGGACCACGGACGCCACCTGGGTTTCCATGGTAAGCGCCGGGTCCAGATGTACCCCCAAGCTACACCCCTCACTCTTTGTGGCAAGGGTCGTCCCCCCAAAGGAAAGGGAGTTGCCTATACCGCTGGTGGAAGGACCACCCACCCTCAACACTTCAGTCTTGTCCGGGTTCAGCCTCAATCCATTCGACTGCATCCATTCCAATGCAGTCTCCAGGCAGCGCTGAAGGGACAGTACGGCATCCACTGAGGTAGATGAAAAGGAGATGTAGAGCTGTGTGTCATCAGCATACTGGTGACACGA